GTTTAGACCCCCTACAGGCCAATGGCAGCACTGCACTCTCTTAGAGGGGAAGGGATCTGCCAACTAGATCCCGAAAAGTCTTCCAACAGGAACTGCCTCTGTCTCAGCTCTTCAGAGATGCTCCTCCTAACTTCAGATCCAACTGTAGAAAAACGGCTGACAGAGCAGCCAGCTGGTTTCCAATTTACATGAGAAAAATAACGCTGCCTCTGCTGTTTGGTCAGAGATAATCAGCTGATTGACGGAGCATCACAGACAGAACTTGTATTGGTCCAAAATTAGATCCTAAAGCAGAGCAGGTGGTGCTTTTGTTTTCACACTTACTGGTTTGAACCCGGAGGTTGAAGGGGTTCTTCTGCTGGATGGTTTGTGTGAAGGGGAAGCGAGCGTTGCAGCAGTAGTCTGTTTGTCCATCTTCAACTAAAACATTTGAGAAATAGAGGTCTCCGTTGAGACCCATGGAGACTCTGCTATCCTGAGGAATGGTTGCCATATCTGTTGGACCCAAGAGAAGAACCCGTTAGCACTAGGGAAGAACAAACCGAAACTGCTTTCACTTTTTTAAAAATAAAATATTCTTTGAAAAAAGGTGTTTGTAAAAGTGTAAAAAAAAAATTCTAGCATTATAGTAAACATGAAGAGGGAGATGGTGTTTTCATATTTTTTATTTTTTTGTCTACCCAGGTGTTAGATGAGTTCAGGGGTCACTAACGTGGTGCCCACAGGCACCAAGGGGCCCTCAACACACAGGGGTCCTCAATGTCTTCTGAAAATATTAGAGCACCAGTGGGCTAAGTTTCAACTATAATTTTATTCTCTTGCTCTTCTTTTTTTAATCCTTTATAGAGCAGTTCATCATATTAATCATATCTAAGTATTTTAAAGCAATTAAAAAAAGGACAATATCAGAGAGAAAATTTGGGAAATTAAAAGAAACCTTAAAAATCTGTTTATTATGCATGAAGTTAAGGTTTAGGTCCTGCATTTCTCTCCCCTTTTTCATCATTCTGCTTCATTCTATCTCTATTCTCCCACTCTGCAGAATCTGTTAGTTCAATCTCTAACG